TATTATCAGCACCACTCCAAGTACTCAAAGTTTTCGCCCATCCCTCCTGAATGTCAAATATCCTTTAACATTCAGTTCCTGTTCTTTGTTGCCCTTGAGCCATATCTTCATAAAGGCAATTGAATCATAACATTTTACTTTTGATAGCATCATAAATTCAATTATTTTGTTATAAATGATTGGTGATTTCATCTGGTTCCTCAGTGCATGCACAGAGACACGGATGGAATGATACAGGCTACACTCATCAATGATTCGTGATCCATTATACAGCTTGCAAACTCCATCCTGCACTCCTACCACCTCAACATTATTGTCTCCAGTGTCTTATGATTATGTTTTAACAGAAATTCACATGAACATGAAGCATGTTCATTGTCTCATTTTTTTGCGCAGAAAATTGCAAGAATTATGAAATGACAATGTCAACTGAGATTCACCCATGTTGAAATGTATATCTGGTCTCAATTGGTTTTGAGAATAAGATTGGTATATATGTTAAATAGTACAATTGCAATATTTCATATCAGTAAAATAATAAAAATATTATTTCATGATCTCAGTCACAGCCTTAGGTTTTAAAAATCCATTATTATCCATTAGGATTAGATTTACCCTTTACTCATCAGATGTTTTGCAAATTTCTCTGGGCTTGACACCACTGTCAAGATAAACCAACCCCCCTCCTCCATTTCCCACCACCCCCACCACCATCATCTCAAGCTGCAGCAGCTGCATGTTCCACTTTCCACCTCCCCAACAACTCCCCCCTGGGAAGCAGCAACACCTACCCGTATCCCGGCACCTGGGCTGAAGGAGTTTCAGCCCCTCTCCCTACCGAATGATATCATTAATCATAATAATATACACTTACAAATAGAGAACAAAATTGAAACAAAAACAGGAATTACTGGAGAAATTCAACAAGTCCTGCAGCATCTGTGATGAGAAAGCAGAGTTAATGTTTTGTTTCTCCAGCAATTTCTGTTTTTGTTTCAGATTTCCTGCACCCACAGTTCTTTATGTGTCGTTTAGCAGAATTGAGCCTGAGGCAGACAGGTTCAAGGAGCTATTTTGTGAGATCCAATGACTGGATTCATGCTCCTGAAATGGTATCTAAATATACAACATACAGCATATATTGAGCCTTACTGATGGCGGATGTGGGTTGGAGAATTGGAACTGAAATGTTATATTGTTATCATATAATACTACTTACAATACTGGAGCCTGAGAAATGACTTCAGTTGCAGAATATGAAATAGGGTTGGCTTTGTTTCTTTGCCACTTGAGGGCGTAGACAGAGATAACTTTGGTAAAGCATCCAGTTTGTTACCTAGAATGGACAACTTACTTCCCTGTTTATTTAATACAATTAACACAGTAATGTTACATTGGCATTTTCATGATTAAGGCACAGCACAGCTTTCCAGACTCTATGCTACTTAGTTACTGCTTTGTTAGCGAGTGAAACCAATCTTTTTTTAAAATTAATTCACACACAGGGTTTGGGCGTTAGTGGATAGGCCTGCAATTATTGCCCATCCCTAATTGCCCAGAAGCCTGTTAAGTGTTAACCACTGGTCTCCCTGTTTTACGAAAGGTGTTAAACTTGAAAGGGTGCAGAAAAGACTTACAAGGATGTTGCCAGTGTTGGAGGGTTGGAACTAAAAGGAGAGGCTGAATAGGCTGGGCCTATTTTCACTGGAGCATCAGAGGCTGAGGGGCATGGATAGGACGAATAGCCAAGGTCTTTTTCCCAGGGTACAGCAGTCCAAAACTAGAGGGCATAGGTTTAAGATGAGAGGGTCAAGATTTACAAGGGACCTGAAGGGCAACTTTTCCACATAGAGGGTGGTGTGCGAATGGAATGAGCTGCCAGAGGAAGTGGTGGAGGCTGGTACAATTACAACATTTAAAAGGCATCTGGATGGGTATATGAATAGGAACGGTTTAGTGGGATATGGGCCAAATGCTGGCAAATGGGATTAAGATTAATTTAGGATATCTGGTTGGCATGGACAAGTCGGACCACAAGGTCTGTTTCTGTGCTGTACAACTCTATGACATTACTATGTGTCTCGAGTCACGCGTAGGCCAGACCAGGTAAAGATGGCAGATTTCCTTCCTTCAAGGATATTAGTGAAGCAGATGGGTTAGTACGACATTCAACAGTGGTTACATGGCCACCATTGAGCTAGTTTTTGTCTTCCAGATTTTTACTGAATTCAAATTTCACCCTACGTACGAAATAACTATATCTCTGATCGGTAACCTGAGGTGTGAGCTCATTGGTCCAGTGACATTACCAGCACACCAATACTGCCCAATACTTCTGCAATTTTGAAGCCTCCATTCACTTCAATTGAACCTTCTCTGTTCCACCTTTTCTTCATAACAGGAAACTTTCACTCCGGGGCAGAATTCTTTTGGTTGGAGGGGTTTCTTGCACTGTTACCAAAAAAATCTTTGGAGAAACACCATTCCATAAACCCCTAACCCACATCCCAACCCTCCAGTGGCTGCCCCACAGCCATTAAACATTCTGGGAAAAGTTAGTTATCTGGGTGGGAGATCTTTTCCTCTTTTTGGAGGGGAATTCCTGTAAGCCAATCTCTCTGGCTGGGATAACACTGAGTACAACAGTTTGACCGGAACAGGAAATCCCAGAGATAGACTAGAGCAGAGGGGATGAAGGGCTGGATCATTGGGTGACAAAATGCCCAGGGCTGCTCTGACCTGAAGATGCCCCTGATCAGGAAAAGGGGCCCATGAATGAGGCTCCCCTCCTGCCCAAAGCTGAGCAAGTCACCCTGCTGGGTATGCCCTGGACTATATCCACTGGCACCCTGTACACACCCTCTGACTGGACAAAATCAAACAGTCACCTAGGGGGATAGCAGGTGCCACATACTACGCCTCACTAGCCTCCTGTAAAATTCAGGCCAGGTTGGAGGCAAATATGGAGGTCAGAACAAAACCTACACTCTTTTACAGGGATCTCATACTCAGACTAGAAACCAGTATTCTGACCCTAATATTATTCCAGTAAGTCTTAAATTTACTCCTCTATTTATTTGCAATGGAAAAAAAAAGGAGGTGTACACTGAGCAATCTGTGATATAGTTGTCATGTTTAGAGCTGCAAGGCAGAGGTAAAGTCTTACCCTCGAACTTGTATCTGTATCAATGTTTATAGACGTCAACTTTATGACGAAGTTAGAGAATAGGAATAAAACTGAGCCTTGGGGTCTGCTCAGTCTTTTCCACAAAATCGTGGCTTAGAATTTGCTATTGCCAATACCAGCTGCTCAACACATAACTTTCTAATTCATACAGCATTCCGCCATCAGTTTAACCAACTGTTAAACTACTTATTTTAAATGCTTTGATCTTTCTGCAAAAATCCAATGTCATGCAGCAGCATTAAGTACCTGTCTTCAAAGATTACTAGCAGTAGGTTCAAGATGTATAATCATTGGAGCACATTGCCTCACTCTTTCTGCATAGGGCAAGGTTCTATTTGCATGTTCGTATAAAATGGTTACCCAATGTCACCCCAAACACTATATCATTGGGTGAGGTCCCAGTACCGTTTGAACAAAATCTGCACGGGCATTCCATTATTAAACTTTTAAAATACATGGTTTTTGAAAATAATTAAAATGGCAAGCATAATGGAAATTGGGTTAAAGAAATGGCCAAATTCTTGATGATGACAGAACCGTATGATTCCTGATATACTTCAACCCTTATTTTTTAAAAGTAGAAAATATTCTGCTTCAACATGTGAGGAGCTTCCTATCAATTTAGAGTGGTACAAGATTGAATTCTCCCAGGTTGCTCCCACAATATTGCATTAAATGCTTACGTTCCTGTATACTGCCCTAGCCGAGGTATTTAGTGTGTTTGGAGGTGAAAGTGTAGTGCATATTCAACACTGAATATGTTATTCCAGTTCTGAAAGGGATAATTATCAGAAGTGAACCAAACACTAAAATATTGTTTAGTGAAGGCAGCATTACACCAGCGAACACTTTGCACATTATCAGAAAAATTATTTTCTGTATTTGCATTGTCCGCTAATAATGTGGTCTGTGTTTTCAATTGTATCTTAAAATTACAATTAAAAGTTTCTCCTGTTATAAATCAGACTTGAATGGAATATGTATGATCCAAAACAGAAGCATATAGTTGAAAAAGCAATAAATTGCTTCCCAGAGGTGAGAGTGCCCTCCAGTGGACATCCTATCCCAAATTCATTTCCTCGAAGGGTTGATGAATGAATTTCACTGCCAGCATCCTATGTTAAAATGAGTTTCAAAATAGGCATAATGGACTGTATATGTTAGAGCTTTGACAACTGAATATTAATAGTGGCTTATACCAGGTGGTCACTTCTGTTATACCTGTTATTCAATGCTACCCAAAACAAATTCCTGGATAAGAAAGTTGCTGCATGGAGAGAGAATGGGTCTATGTTGTCTGAAGTTTAGAAGAATGAGAGATGACCTCTGTAAAACTCAATGAACAAATGAAAATGCTTTGAGGGTTGACGCATTTAGAATAGAGGCTGTTTCCACTGGCGCGAGAGTCTGGAATTTAAGAATGATGGTCTTTGGATGAGGAGTAAGTGATTTAGGGCTGAGATGAGGAAAAATTTCTTCAGACAGTGGTGAATCTTTGAATCCTCTAGCCCAGAGGCTGCGGATGTTCAATTGATGAGTTGATTCAGGATGAAGCTGATAAGTTTCATAGCGCTCAAAAATCTAAGGACTGAGGCTGATGTAGAACTTCAGACTCAACCTTATTGTATGGAGGAACAGGTTTGTTGGGTAATAGGCTAATTCCAATTGTTTATTTTAAATGACGGTTTCTACTCAATCTTAAAATCATTGAGGAATATTTGAGATGTACAATATTGATATATACAATAATATTTGAGGTATGCAAATTATATATTCATCGTATTCCAGTACTATGAGGAGGCTGGAATCATACCTTGCTCTTAAGTTTCTCAATCTCTTCTTTATGTGAGTTTTCAGTTTCTTCTAAAGTTCTCCTTTGAGCTGTTTCCTTTTTCAGAAATTCTATTTCCCTAAAAAGGAGTTTGAAAAGCCATGGAACAGAAATTAAAAAAAAAAACTTGAGATTCTCAAAGTACAAGTTTCTGTTATTCAAATAACAGGTTAAAGATATCAATGGATCAAGTTTTAAACTGGCATATTACATTCCAGAGTGTGCTATTGTTGGTAATGTGGTATTCTGAACTGAAGATAAACAATGCACATTGGGCCATGAGTTGAGAACATGAAATACACACTGCAGATTGAAAGCCCTTTCTGAGCATCTGTTAATGTTTTATTCTTTTTGACATTCTTCAACAGGAATAACTTAGAATAAACAACCAATACTGCTCAAGTCTGAATAACTGCCTGACATGGAATTTTTTTGTAAGTCATATACAATTACCTATGTAGTAAAAGGTTCTGCAAAATAGTCGATTCACTTCCTCTTAGATCAGAGGTTAGCAAGTTTTTAGTAATTTTAAAGTCTGAAATGACCCTAAAATCAACAGATTGAACATGACAAAAGATGCAGCAGATTTTGCTTTGGTTGGCACCTGTACCTTTCCTAAGGATGTCCAAAGATTTTATTAACAGTTAATGTTTTACAGATTAAAAAAAACAAAAAGAAAACCTATTGCTGTAGTGCCTGCACAAGCTCTGGACATCCGAAAAAGCTTCAAATTTGAAATGTAATTACTGTTGTGATGTAGGGACTATATCTAGTGCAGAATTTAATGTAAATTCCATTGCAAGGTTGATGGAAGGGGTACATTTATCCTGACGAAAGGCTGACAGCTGAGGATCCATGCCACCTCCAAACCTCTAAGATGAAATCTGAGGCAGGAAAGCCCATGAATGGCCTCTCCGTCCTATCGCCAACTGGACGTTAATTACCCATTTACAGGCCTCATCCGATAACCTGCAGCTTTCTACGCAGAAACACAACAAGCAAACCTGTGTTGGGTTGTTCATGAGATACAGGTCTTGGAAGTGGACAGGAAGATTTGGAGGCTTTGTTCAAAGCCATATGGTGCTTGATTGAGGAACCGAGTCTCAGAAAAGAGTCATCCACTAACAGAAACACAGAAATATCAAAAACAGGTGCAGGAGTAGGCCATTCGGCCCTTTGAGTCTGCTATGCCATTCATCACGATCATGGGTAGGTATCCAACTCAAAAGACTGCTCCTGCTTTTCTATCATATCCTTTGATCACTTTAGCTCCAAGTGCTGTATCCAACTCCTTCCTGAAATCATTCCAAGTATTGATCTTGTCTGCTTTCCGTGATATCAAATTCCACACACTGACTACTCTCTGAATGAGGAAATTTCTCCTCCTCTCACTTTGAGACAGTATCTTAAAGTGTGACCCTTGGTCCGGGACTCCCCCATCATTGGGAACATCATTACTGTGTCTACACTATCCAAGTTTCTATGAGACCCCTCCCCATTCCTCTGAGCTCCAATGAATACAACTCTAACTGGTTCAACCTCTCCTCATACATCTGTCCTGCCATCCCCAGGAATCAGACTGGTAAACCTTCACTGCACTCCCTCTGAAGCAAAAACATCATTCGTCAGATAAGGAAACCGAACCTACACCCAATGTTCTAGATGTAGTCTCATTAATGCCCTGTACAGCTACAGCAAGACATCCCTACTTCTTTATTCAAACCCTCTCAGTATGAAACCACCTCACACCCGCTGCATCTGCAATTCATGTACGAAAACACTCAGGTCTTGTTGCACATTCTCAGCTCATGGCCATTCAGATACTAACCAGCCTTCTTGATTTTGCTAACCAAGTGGATAACCTCATAGTTATCCACATCATAGTTCATCTGCACTGCACTTGCCCACTTAGCGTGTCAAAATCATACCGAAGCATGTCTGCATGCTCCTCACAGTTCATCCTCCCACCCAGCTTTGAGTCATCTGCAAATTTGGAGATATTACATTTAGTTCCCTCATCCAAATCATCAACATATATTAAGATATATTATAATAATATATAATATCCTTTGCTGATCACTCCCCCTCTTTCCCACTTGTCTGCCACCCCAACCCCTCAAACTCCCTCCCACCATCACTAATTTGTAGTCCAGGGGACTAAAACAAAACTTGGTCTCAGGTGGCCTTATCATTCAATAGATCCACCAACCTCTCCCATTCCTGTTCCTAAGATCCTTGACCCTGAAGAAAGCGTGTTGTTGTTGTCCATTTAAGTGCCCGAGTGGCATAGGATATGGTGGACCTTCTCGAAATAAGGTGACACAGGGTTCTCATTGGCTTTACGGTTGGCGGGTGAAATGTTGTTCCCCTGATCAAACACTGCAGCAAATGGAGCTAATTTTTGTCAAGCATAACATAAAAACAATTAAACTAGAGATGATTCCTTCTGGCAAAATGGAAAGAATGAAAAGAGCCCTAGAAATCTGTCGCTTGGCTTGATTATTTGTCTTTGCACATAACTGCCAGGGAGGGATGATGTGAAGAGAATAGGAGATAGTAGGAACTGCAGATGCTGGAGAATCCGAGACAACAAGGTGCAGGGCTGGATGAACACAGCAGGCCAAGCAGCGTCATAGGAGCAGAGGAGGCTGACATTTCGGGCCTTCATCAGAAAAAGAGAATGGGATTGGTTTTGAGCAAATTCAATTGAAACCTGGTGGAAAGATACAGGACTGACCTGATGGAATGACACTTAACCGGATCCCTTCCCTGTAGATACTCTTCATCAGCTACATGGTCATTTATTGCTGAGTCACTGACTTGCCTTAGATATTTGACACAATATAAAAATACTAGCCCTTTGCGTTGTCTAAATTGATATTAGTCAGAGACAAAACAAAATTCAACAGCTATTCCTGACAGGCCTAATAGCTTTGGACTTTACAAGCATCTACATAAAGAAATCAGTATCCAACTAGTGGCTTGAGTGGTAACAGATAAAACATGGAGTCAATTTCCTGATCCTAATAAGACTTGGAAATGTCATCAGATGACATCAAAGATGATTACCCGAAGGATCACCTTATCAGAATGTTATATCATTAATGGTTGATTTACACCAAGAACATGCTACTCATCGAATTAATGTAAAAATAGCAAAGGTTTCTGCGTAAGTGATGCAAAACTCACAATGACAGAATCTTTATGTTCACTAATTTAGCAAAGTTACTTATCTGTTTTTAACTTGTGAAACTACTAACTGAAGATCCCACAGAGAATTTGTGTCCAATTGCTAAATAATTGATGTTAAACAACTGACCCCTTCTAGTCCAGCTCCACCTTGACAGGTTGGTACATATTGAGCTGACAGCTATTCTCCGAAGAAATGGGCTCTCTGCCTCCATTATGGTCTTCATCAAAATTTCTACAGACTGAGTTATTTCCCAGCTAGGCAGGAGGTGTGACACTTGACCTCAGCCCCTGCTACAGCTCTATTTCTTGCAATTGGCCAGCTGAAACACCATTAAAACCAGCTATTCCATAGTCGGGTCAAATAAATGAAGGCATTCCAATGAATTAGACATTAATGTCACTATGTTTTGAGGGCAGCGTAGTAGAAATACAGAGACTTTCTGATAGAGACAACAGAGTTCGGAAATTCAGTTTGGGGTCATATTGGATGCTGAGGTTGTGAACAGCCTGGTTCTGTCTCAGACAGTGTCTGGAAAGGGGGGCAGGATTGACTGCAAGTGTAGAGAGTTTGTTGCATTGTCCAAATTCATTCAACTTCTCTTAATGTGACATTCCGTTCATTCGTATGCTGCTTATAAAGTAAACAATTTCATTGGTTTATAACTGACCTCTCACTCAGGTATCTATTAGCCCACTTTCAGAAGGCAAACAGAACTTAATTAAGGTAATGAGTGAGATTACGTGATCTAGTTTGGATCACCCTTTTTTTTGACTAAATATGGGGATGTAAAAGTAAATGTTTGTTCATAGAGGAGATTGAGTGAACAGGAATATTTTTCGAAGTCATCAGAATTTGAATACTAAATTTGCAGATCGTTCAAACAAGTAGAAAAGTATGTTGTGAAAACAACATAAGGCTATTACAGACTGAGATTGATAGGTCAAGTGAACGGACAAAAGCGCTGGCAGATAGTGTATAACATGCAAAAATGTGAAATTGTTCACTTTGGCAGGAAGAGTTAAAAAGCAAACCATCACTTAAGTGGAGAAAGACTGCAGAATTTTAAGGTGCAGAGAGATCGAGGTATTCTAGTGAAAGAGTCACAACAAGTTAACATTCAGGTGCAGCAAGTAATTAAGAAGGCAAATGGAATGCTCTCCTTTAAATATCAGAGAAATTGAACAGAAATTGAGGGATCAAAAACAGAAATTGCTGGAAAAGCTCAGCAGGTCTGGCAGCATCTGTAGAGAGATATCAGAGTTAACATTTCAGGTCAAGTGACCCTTCTTCAGAACTCCTGGGGAAGTTCTGAAGAAGGGTCACTCAATCTGAAACATTAACTCTGATTTCTCTCCACAGATGCTGCCAGACCTGCTGAGCTTTTCCAGCAATTTCTGTTTTTGTTTCTGATTTACAGCATCTGCAGTTCTTTCAGTTTTTATTTAGAAATGGAAGGAATTTTGCTGCAATTACACAGATCATTGGTGAGATCACACTTTGAATACTGTGTGCAACTTTGGTCTCCTTATTTAAAGAATGATGTAAACACACTGGAGACAGTTTAGAGGAGTCTGTCCAGGTTGATACCTGGAATGAGCAGGTTGCCTTACAAGGAGAAATAGACAGACTGGGCTTGGTTTCACTGGATTCAAGTATATAAGATCCTGAAAGGCCTTGACAAGGTGGACCTGAAAAGGATGCTTCCTCTTGTGGGCGAGTCCAGGAGTTGGGAGCACTTTTTGAAATATAGAATCTTCCTTTTGAGACAGAGAATCGACAAGGGTCTGCATGGTAAATTGGTTAATAAAGTTAGATCACATGGAATTCAAGGAGAACTAGCCATTTGGATACAGATCTCGCTCAAAGGTAGGAAATAGAGGGTGGTGGTGGAGGGTTGCTTTTCGGACTGGGGGCCTGTGACCAGTGGTGTGCCACCAGGATTCGTGCTGGGCCCATTGCTTTTTGTTATTTACACACATGATTTGGATGTGAATATAGGAGGTATGGTTAGTAAGATGCAGATGACACCAAAATTGGTGGTGTAATGGACAGCAAAGAAGGATACCTCAGAGTACAACGGGACCTTGAACAGATGGGCCAAGGAGTGGCAGATGAAGTTTAATTTATATAAATGTGAGGTGCTGCACTTTGGAAAGGCAAATCAGGGCAGAACTTATACACTTAATGGTAAGGTCCTGGAGAGTGCTGTAGAACAAAGAAACCCATAGTTCCTTGAAAGTGGAGTCTCAGGTAGACAGGATTGTGAAGAAGATTTTTGGGGTGCTTGCCTTTATTGGTCAGTGCATTGAGTATAGGTGTTGGGAGGTCATGTTGTGGCTGTGCAGGACATTTGTTAGGCCACTTTTCGAATAGTGCGTTTAATTCTGGTTGCCCTGCCATAGGAAGGATGTTACGAAACTTGAAAGGTTTCAGAAAAGATTTACAAGGATGTTGCTGGGGCTGGAGGGTTTCAGCTCTAGGGAGAGGCTGAATAGGTTGAAGCTATTTTCCCTGGAGTGTCGGAGGCTGCGGGGTAACCTTATAAAGGTTTATAAAATCACGAAAGGCATGGATAGGGTGAATAGACAATTTCTTTTCCACAGGGTAGGGGAGTCCAAAGCTAGAGGATATAGGTTTAAGGTGAGAGGGGAAAGATTTAAAAGGAATCTAAGGGGCAACTTTTTCATACAGCGGGTGGGGCATGTATGGAATGAGTTGCTAAAGGAAGTGGTGGAGGCTGGCACAGTTACAACATTTAAAAGGCATCTTGTATGAATAGAATCCCTACAGTGTGGAAACAGGCCCTTCAGCCCAACAAGCCCACACTGACCCTCAGAGCATCCCACCCAGACACATCCCTGAACACTATGGGCAATTTAGTATGGCCAATCCACCTAACCTGCACATCTTTGGACTGTGGGAGGAAACCGGAACACCCAGAGGAAACCCACGCAGACACGGGGAGAATGTGCCGCTCCACACAGACAGTCGCCTGAGGGTGAATTGAACCCGGGTCCCTGGCACTGTGAGGCAGCAGTGCTAACCACTGAGCCACAGTGCTGCAGAACAGGAAGGGTTTAGAGAGATATGGGCCAAATGCTGGCAAATGGGACTAGATTAATTTAGGATATCTGGTCGGCGTGGCCGAGTCGGATCAAAGGGTTTGTTTCCATGGTGTACAGGTTTATGACTCTCAGAGGGTTGTGTGACTTAGGACTTAGATGGTGGAGGTGGAGTAATTTGATTTTTTTTTAAAGGAGGAGGTGGATTGATCCTTGTTAAGTAGGACAATCGTGAATAGATGAGAACGTGGAATTTGAAAGACTAACAGATCAATCATGACATTATTGAATGGCAGAGTAGGTTCCAACAGCTAAATGACCTACATCTGCTCCAAATTCATACCTTTATATATTCTCTGCCACAGGTGTAGAAGGTCAAAGTCTGGAAATTACCCTCGTGAATATTAACAGATTAATGCATGAAATTTGTGTACAAATTATGCTTCTCATAAATGAACAGATAAGTAACTTTGCTAAATCAGTGAGCATAAAGATATGATGTTAACATGTTGTGTTATAACCACAATAATGTCTCTCATATGCAGCTGTGCCTAACTGTTATGTTTCCAAGATGTTGTCATGAGTTTGCCCATCATATGATTTTCCAAGAAACTATTAAACTAAACTTCTTACCTACATTGTGTAGAATCAGCACATTGTATATTTACTCATAAAGGAGGTAATACCAAACATTTTTTTTTTAGTATCCAAATGGTATCAATGATTAAAATATTAACAACTGTACACTCAGATGTCTAGTCTTAACAAAATTGATCTTTCATCTTTGGACATGGCTGTGTATTTCCTGCCTTTCAAGTTTTTCTTTAAAATTTTCACAATTTGCAGTTTTTCTCGATCAGGTAATAGCCATTCCCCATGTATAAGAATAAAGCATTAAGCCCCTGCTCATGGTTCCCATTGAGGCCTGCTAAATCATTTAATCTAATCAGATGGAAAATGACTGACGTCCCATGATTTGTCATTTGTGGCAATTGATAAACCAAAATGAGCAGGACAGCAAACATTATCTGCTGTGAAAGATTAGCCACCATTTGTGGGCTTGAGTATATTATTTGTATGGAGAGCAGTTTAGGAGCACTGATAGCGATTTGTTCTGATTGGACTTTCATTGCAGCAATTCTCACAATGCACATGAGCTCATGGAAAGCATAAAGCATTTTCTTGCATGTGCTTTAAAAAGTGGAATATATTAACCATGACTTATTATCTTCTTTGGGCACCAAAACCAATCCTTATTTCTTTTTTTTGATAAATACAAGCACACTCCATATCAAATTAATTGGGGTTGAATTTTTCATCTTCACCGCCTGGATAGCAATGTGGTGGTTTCAGTCATTTGTCTGTTGACTAATATGATTTTCACTCCGTCTATCAGAATGATAATCAAGTGCGTTTTACACAAAAGCAGAGATCCACTCCATTCAATCACCACCCCCAGTTGGTGAAGATAAAAATCTCCCCTAGTCTAATAACACAGCAGTGGGATGTTTCTTACTTCTGCTGGTATTCCTTGATCAAGCGTTTTGCTTTGCTGTACTTTCTCTCTAAGGCCTGGTACTGAGCCTGTGTCTCTTTCAAATGTTCATCCACAGCTTGACAAAGAGTTTGGGCCTCCATCCAGTAACTCTCTAGCTTCTCCATACGTTCCTTGTTTTCCTCAACACTCTGCTCCAACTGGGCCTTTTCCATTCGCCAACGCATTTTTTCCTGTTCTGTTGAATGAAGCTGAACAGCCATGAAAATAAATATCGTTTAGTCAGAAACATCATGAAGGGTGGTAACCACCAAAAAAGCTGTTGTCCTATTCAAAACAAAATAAAGACTGTATCTAATCAATAATTCTACTACTGAATGAATTACATTCAGATAAACATGTGGAGGAATGAATGTAAAATTTATTTCCACTGTGCACTAATTTTCGAATGCTTGTTAACGTGTTCTTGAGCAATTTCTCAACTGAGCTATTTTGATAAAGCCATTGAGTTGTATAAGATAAGCAGATTAAAGGTTTTATTAGAAAACAAACTGAACATGAATGCATTTAGTAATAAGGTAAAAGTAGTTCATAGAGCAAATTCAACACATCTAAGTATGGAATATAATGTTAACGATAATCTCAAATTGAAAAAAGAATCAGACTAATGGGGTTCTAAAAAGACCTAACTGCTGAAAGTTATATTGAATATGCTCAGTACTTATATGTTGTAATACAGAACATAGAACATTACAGCATAGGAAAGGCCCCTTTAGCCCACGATTTGTACTGAACATGAAGCCAAATTAATCTAATCTCTTCCGCTGCCCATGGTCCATATCCCTCCATTCCTTGCACATTCATGCGCTTATCTAAAAGTCCCTTAAATGCCCCTATCATATCTGCTTCCACCACCATCCCTGGCAGTGCATTCCAGACTCCTACCACTCTCTGTGTAAAACACTTGCCCCTCACATCTCCTTTGAACTTTCCCTCTCTCATCTTAAATGCATGCCCCCTAGTATTAGACATTTCAACTCTTGGAAAAATGATTCTGACTGTCAATCCTATTTATGCATTTCATAACTTTATAGACTCCTAGCAAGTCCCCCCTCAGCCTCTGCCACTCCACAGAAAACAACCTGAGTTTTTCTAGCCCCTCCGTATAGCTCATACCCTCTAATCCAGGCAGCATCCTGGTGAACCTCAGATGCTAAAAAGTCCATACAGGCCACAAGATGAATGAAGAGGTGCATGTAATTGTATGGGTTACAAAATTTAAGTGACGCCCAGATAAAAGTAGTCAGTATTTCAGTCATTTGATCAGAGCACAAAAGTTACAGAAATCTCCTTCAGATGTCAAGATTGAAGACAGCTGATAGAGGGTTCAATCTTGGCATGACTAATGATGGATATCACAGAGTGGTTACAGTGAGCAAAAGTGAATATGCAAACAATGGTCAAACCTGCCTACCCTTTGTTGGAGGTGTTCAGCCCTGCAATTTTACTGAATGGTGTTACTTGTCTATCAATGGATGGCAACTGAAAGCATTGAAATGTGAGCATTAGCACAAGTTGTTGCCAGTATTTATGCTTTGCAGGAGTGGACTGAGAGATGGGAAACTACATTGCTCACAGGACCACTCACTCTATGGGCATTGGTTTACAATCTCAGCCCAGCAATAACGAATTCTGTTAATCTTGCACACAGGATTAAATTTTGTGTAAACACAGGTCACAGCAACGATCTTCTTAGAACATTACAAAAGGCTTTTGTGGCACAGTGGTTGTGGGAGGTGGAGGGCATACGTTAGAAGACTTGAGAATTGAAAACATTGTGCTCTTGTTCAAAGAACGTGGTGAGGATAAATCAGCAGCAGAAACAGCTGCCTTCCAAACTGAAGGATAGCAGTCAGCAAACTTCTAGAAAGAATCATTCAGAACAGAATTGATAGTCACATGGACAGAAGTGGGTTATTCAGGGAGGGCCAGTATGGATTTCGTTTGGAAAAATCACGATGAAGTAATTTGCTGAAGTTCTCTGAAGAGGGTTGATGAGGGTAACGCTGTTGAAGAGCTGTACATGGACCTCTGAAAGGTGTTCGATACAACAAACTGTTGGAAGTGAGAGCTCATGGAGTAAAAGGGACAGTATCAACATGGATACAAAACTGGCTGAGTGGTAAGAAGTAAAAAATAATGGTTAATGGAAGTTTTTCAAATTCGTGGAAGGTTTATAGAGAAGCTTCCCAGAGTAGGTACTGGGACCCTTGCTTTTCCTGATGTATATTATATGACCCGATGTATATGAAGTGCAGGGGATAATGTCAAAGTGTGTGGACAATACAAAGCTTGGAAACTTTGTAAACTGTGAGGAGGACAGCGTAGAACTTCAAAAGGATAGCAACAAGTTAGTGGAGGGGGCAGATAGGTGGCAGATGAAATTCAATGTAGAGAAGTGTGAGATGATATATTTTAGTTGAAAAAACATGGAGACAATATAAAATTAAGGATTTAAATTAAAGTGCGCACAGGAGCAGAGAGACTGGGGTGTATATGTACATAACTCATTGACAGTGGCAGGTTACACAAAACAATTCAGTTAACAAAGTAACTCGCACCTCAAGCTTTATTAATAGTGTCATAAAATACAACTGGAAGGTAGTAATGCAGACCCTACAGGAGACACTAGTTAGACCTTAGCTGCAGTACTATGTACAGTTTTGGGTACCACACTTTGGGAAGGATATGAGAGCATAAGGGATCTTGTACATCTTATGAAACAGTTTGCAAGAATAGTTCCAGGGATGAATAGTGTCAGATTGGAGAAACTGGGGCTGTTCTCCTTACAGAAAGAGAAAGTTAAGAGGAGATTTGATATCGTTTTCAAAATCATGAGGTCTCAGAGTGCATTGGGAGAAACTGTTTCCACTCAGAGAAAGGACTGGGGTCACAGTCTTAAAGTGATTTGCAAAAGAAATAAGTGTGATGTGAGAATTTTTTTTAACACAGCAAGTGGTTCAGGTCTGAATGCACGCCCGAGAGAGGTGTGGCAGCAGCTTCAATTGAGGCATTCTCAAGGGCATTGGATGATTATTTAAATAGAATTAATGTGTAGGTTGCAGGGAAAAGGTGAGAAAATGGCACCATGTCATTATGGTCGTTCAGAGAGCCAGTGCTGACACAATAGGCTGAATGGCCTCCTTCTGCACAATTCTGTAATTCTACCTGTGATTGACTGCCAATTGATTCCATTGGCAGATCAATGTGCTGTAAGCACCTTATACAATTCTACACAACAAACTACATGTACTGAATGTTCAGCTGCATGTCAAATAGCTTTTCCTCTGTCAATTGTAGAAATCAACCTCTGCGGAGATGCTATTACACACCTCTGAGGTGAGTGGGATTTGACCCAAGGCCTTCAGGAATCAGAGACTGGGTCACTACTATTGCATCACAAGAGCGCAAGATGCAGGTTAAGAGCACTGATTGGATGATTATATGAACCAATATGAAGGGACACTGCCACATAAGCTGAATGGTGTCAGAAGATATACATTTACAACTTTTTGTGAAAATCACAATATTCACTATTTGTGACTCAATATATCCCAAGTAAACACTAGATGTGGATTCATCCTTCACAAGCCTGGCTTTCAGGAGTCTTACTAACTTTATCCACATGAGTATGTACACATCATGGAGTCCTATCTGACTCCTGGCACACAATTAGCCTGTCAGTGCTTCTTAACCCATTCCAAGGGCACAAGCAGGAGCAGATGTTAGTGTCACTTTTCATTTATATCCAAACAGATTAGAAACATGTTATGTTTTATTCTAATCTTTTCAGATGCATGCAAGAGTGATTCAATTACAGAGATCTGTGGATAAAACATTGCAAATAACAAACAGACAAGTATTTGCATATTGGAACATGATGTAATTCCAGTTAATGGGTTTTATCAGATCTGTTTTTAAGTGGGCTTCACAATATTTTGACAGGAATAAAACATATTATTTACAAAAAACTGAGTTAATTCTCGCAGTTTAACAAGAGAGATGACTTATAGACCAAATAGAAGGCTCTTTAATTTCAGTGTTCAGAACTAATGAAATCCATATCTACCATGCATGAATTTACACACAGTCATACAACTGTGTCGGAAGGAAGGGAATTTCTGCCTTGCATCATCAGAAATGTATTTCAGTAAAACAAGTTAGACATTAAGGCACCATGGAACCAGCCAAGAAGCTGCAAGTAGGATTTAGTGCAAACGTTATGTTTTCCTTAGGCTGCACATTTTTCCAGATTGTACTCAATATCTCAGAGATCCAGAATCCTGTTTAATCAAGACAAGAGGAAAGAAACAGATGAATATGTGGATGAAACTAATGATCAAGGTACAAAAAAAGTCTGAGAGGTTGAAATTTATTGGAGTCCAGCTTTGACAGTATAAATGCAGTGATGAAGAATTTCTGTTCATCAATACCTAAGGCTAGGCACCAAATTCCAGGGACAATGTTATTTGAATAAATAGGATGGGTCTCTGATCTACCCAATTTGCATAAGCAGTGGGGTGCAATCTAAGGTAGAGTTGTCTGAAGGTCTAAATGGACCGCAGTGAATGTTTAAAATTCCACTCATATTTTGCTGTTACCCTCTGCAATTGCGGAGACTGGCCTAGGAATTCAACGACAAACTAAAATGAGGGTGCAGCTCTTCACAGCTCGGTCTGCTTTTCCCTTTGAACGCCTATCGCACTTTATAGACTTGTTAAGTAGCTACTTCCAGCACCCACCTTTTCCTCTGCGCTCCCTTTCAACAAAAGCTAACCTCTGTAGTCTTCCTCTGCTCTCTGGCTGCCAAGAACAGATTCAGTCCAGTGCACCTTTACCTCCAGCACAGGTAGGGCAAGCAGGTAGGTCCTGAATCCACAGTAGACAGAACAAGGATCAAATCTTGCCCTGCCAGCACCAATCTGATTCAACCCAGCCATCCAGCTGGAGTCAAATGACCCCAAGGGGTCCAAGTTGGTGTGACAATGTACACCTTTATGCGCATCGTGTAGTATGGAAGTTTGAATTACATTGGCAGAGACTCCAGTTTTCTTCACATCACATAGCTGACCAAGAATCTCCCCCAACCTGACCACCTGGTCATCCTGAATATGTAGTGCCAATGAATGCAACTTTACAAGCACCAGCTCATATACAACATCACGCATAATATAGAAGCTAGGTGGGGTGGAGGGTGTGTTCAAGTGGTGGGTCACCAGGCATATGTGCAATAGCTGGTACAGTGAGATGGAACCACACAGGTGCCAGCTCACTGCAGTATGAGATTATATCCTCACTTTGTGGCAGAGGGTTGAGATGCCAACTTTGATGACCTAACATACTGAAGGAGACTAGTGGGAATAAGTCAGGTCATTCGGGATGGCCTGGGGAGTCTGTCGGCGAGCAAGCTTGTGCATAATGGCCAACTCCAACTTGTGTTGAGGCTTTGTGAAAACAGAGACCATTCTGTTAACATGAATCAGCATAATCATAGCACCATCCAAATCGTGCAGCCTCTCCAGACAGTTCACACTCACAGCTAGACAGGGAGCTCAGACAATTAACACCTTGGTTTAGGACACTACTCTAGACAGGGCCTGAAAACAGAAGCTGCGTGTTTGAAATTTAAGATTGTCTTATATATTGCCATTTGGATTACAGCGAGGAGGGATAATCAATGCATTTAAATATCCCATAAATAAATGTCTGGTTCACAGCAATATCACTGTCTTGATTAAAACAATGGATTATTTTGAACTCTCCTTTTGATTTGTGGTAATAAAGTCATATTGAGGTGGGCTATAGTTCAGAATAGATATGGCCACATTCTGGAAATTCTAGTGTATTTCCAATATATTAAAGTCTGAAAATGTTTAAATCTTTCAATTAACAAAGACAACATCAACAATCACAGACCTCTTCCATCTTGATGTGGTTCATGAAATTAAACACTTCTTTAATAGCCTTCTGGTGAGTGCATAAGGAAATCTATACAGATTTCTGAAAAGCTCAATAAAACTCATCAAGTGCAACATGCGAAGCATTTCTTCAATAACAAAAATGAACGACAAATAATGTAACATCTGCTGGCAAACATCAACGTCACTGGGAAACAGAAAACGTACCTTTCTTTTCAGCTGCTGAATCTCTGCTTCAGTTACAGCGTGCTTTATTTGAAGCTGATGATTAAAAACAAACCATATTATTATTGATATCACACGTCAGATTTTTATATTTATTCATTTGTCTTCTCCATTTCAAATAATACAATTTGCCCAGTCATAGGGGAGGTGTTGATTTGGACTGGCAGACTGGAGTAGATTGAGTAAGGAATGATTTATGCAGCAACTGCAGCCAAGACACTTTTAATATTGAGCCTTGAACCTCGCTTCAGTTAGTCCTGAGAGCTTTGGACACTTTAGGAATCCCATGCAGCTTGCAAAGGACGATCCCGAGAATGAAGGGGTGACCATAGAACTGATTAGGGCAGGAGAGACTATTGGGATGGGTGGTGATTGGGAGAAGTTGATTGGGACAAGGATTTGTAGTCCAAGACCTGGAAAGTTAATCTGGGGGACTGGGAGGCAATCAGGAGCAGGAAGTGATGGTGGGGGAGGGGAAGGAGGAATGGAACTGAGCTTGCAAAAGTCTTCAGTGAGTCATGGAGTTGACAGCAGGACTCCAATTACTTCCAGCTGCCACTTTCAATGAAATATTGACTTTCGAAATAATTATTTAGGTTGTTTCTTTCAGGGCCACTACTTTGATCCCATGTAGATTCAGTTACCTTGATTTGGGGGCAGTGGGGTGGCTGTGTTATGTTCAGCTCATCATCTTGAACATGTCCTGAAATAGGTAATAGACTCCCTACTTGAGAAAGTCTTTATTGTTTACAGTTCTGGCAATTTATTCATCACTTTCAAACGAGAGCGTGGGAAAGCCACAATTCAGATCCACAAGGGCTAACTTAAGTTGACCAGATAGTGGGGTAGTTATCGCATTACAACTTGCATGCATCCAGGATTTTGAGTTAATTTACAAGGCACGAGTAATAGAATGCTGCTGCAAGATTTAAAGGACTGCAATTGGTTTTGGTCATGAAACAAAGAGCCTCCATTTTAAAAGATTCTTCTACAAATGCAGGGGCATCACAGCACATCTCATTCAGAAAGGTATTGGATGTACAATTGAAAATGAAATATTTTGAGTGATGGGTAAAGATTACAGGGAGTGAGATTAATAGGGTAGCTCTTCCAAAGATCTAGTAAAGGCACAACTGCACAAACAACCTCGTTCCACATTGTAAGATTCTATGATTATTAACCATTTGCTAACAATGCATGTCATGATAATAGGGAGTGATGGAAACTTTGAACTCTTTTCTACAAAAGATATTTAATGCTAGATCAATTGCTAATTTTAAATGTGAGATCCCACAGATCTTTAGTAACCCAAGGTACGAAGTGACATGGGCAATGCAGTTATCAGGATCAGTCATGAAAGGTGGCACAGATTTGAGGGTTAATTGTTCCCATGTAATTCTCATTTTTTATTTTGTTTTCAATTATAGTGTACCCCTTAACTCACTAGAGGATGTTATAACCGGAGAATTGCAAAAACAATCATGGTCTATAAGCTTAGTTAACTAAAGATTGAAGATTCTGATTTCAAAAGATGCCTGCAGCGAATGAGACGATCAGTGTAACATTATTTTTGTTTTAATTGTGATTGTTATTTCAGTTGGAAACATTTTTATCAGTGAGTTTATTCAAGGATAGTTTGGCAACCCTGTCGAGTACAGGGATATGTCTGGGAGTCCCAAAGACATTATTTCATAGAGAAGTTAAAGGCAGATTATACTTCTTCCATGGCTGCTCATAATAATCCCAGAAGTCCAGAGTGCCACAACGGAGCAGGCTATCTTTCCTGGTTCAAAGAATTGAGGTGGCAACACAGGAAAAAGGATGGGCATGACTGATCACCTACTTGTATTATTTTATCATCCACTACCTCCATATCCCTTGATGTTAACACTCGCCAGAAACCCATCAATTCCTGTCTTGAACATGCTCAACGATTGAGCTCCCATAGCCTTCTCAAGTCGAGAATTCCAGAAATTCACCATCACCTGAGAGACAAAATGCCTCCTCATCACTGTATGAAATGGCCTGTCCCTTTTGCCCAGAGAAAGTGATGGTTACCTGCCTCTTTGAAGCATTGCGGACTGTGTAGTGATGGAGCTGCCATAATGGAGCTGGGTGGGCAATTCCACCATTATGACCAATGCTGATTGAGGTTTTAATATAATATGTCCATTGGTGTGTCACTTGGGAAGAGTTTGGACATGCTGGTGTTCCTTGCACCCATTGCCTTTGACTTTTGAGTTGGTAGAAGTCATGGTTTTTGAGGGTACTGCCAAACAAACCTTGAAATGTTGCTACAGAGCATCAAGTAGTTAATTTATTTAGCCAGCATGAAAGGATTTGACGTTATGTTTACTTGATGAGGGTCCAATCAAGTAGACTGCTTTGACCTTAATAGTGTCGAGCTTTTTGAATGACATTGGTGTTCTCCCATCCAAGTGAGTGGAGAGTATTCCATCACATGCCTGACTTGTGCCTAATAGGTTAAAGTGAGGTTTTGGGGAGTTAGGATGTTAGACACTCTGCAGAATACTCAGATCTGATCTGCGGTCATATCCATTTAACTTGTCGACTTGAGTTTCAGTGGTGATTTACAGGATGTTAATGGTGGAGCATAGTGACGGTAATGCTATTGAATACCACGGGGAGGTAGTCAGGTTCTCTTGTTGGAAGTCTTGCTGCAATTCAAGGGGCTGTATGTTAAGCAACTTCAATATGAAACTTAAGCAGAGATCCTTTATGCTGGACTGCAACTATTTTTTGCATCCATCCATTTTCTGCCACCAAATTTGCTGATGGCATGTACACATTCAAAGCAGTTTGATACAATTTTTTTTTTCCTTAAATTTCCATTATGTCCTATCATTTTACATTATTGGATTTTGCTGTGGAATTGGTCCAATTGGAATGGAGTAGCTTCTCTGACCAGTGCAGATGCAGAAACAGCTTGAATAAGATTTGGAGGAAAACTCACTATGTTGCAGGGAGCCCCTTGGCTTAGATTGATCTTGCTCTGAGAACTGAGATGAATCTGATGCAGAATTCTTGCATCTTTTTTGTCACATGTACAAACACAAGGAAGTGAATGCTATCTTGCTGGGAAACAGCAGCATCCTATGTTCTCAGTTTTGACTTGTCAGTAGTGCTGTGCACTGGCTGAGCATGACCACTGGTTTACAAGATAGCAAATCTCATGATCTTAATGAACCCTGTGTACCTTCAAAGGGTATGTTGGCCTTCATCACAAGGGGATTTGAGGGCAGGAGTAATGATGGTTTCCTGCGGTTGTTATAGAGCCTTGGTGAGACTGCACCTACAGTACTGTGTACAGTTTGGTCTGCTTAGGTAAGGAAGGGTGAACTTCCTATAAAGGAAGTGCAACAAAGTTTCACTAAACTAAGCCGTTGGATGGCTGGATTATATTATGAGGAGATTTTGACAAAACTGGGCCTGTATTCTCTGTAGTTTCAAAGAATGAAAGGTGATCTCAATAAAACTTACAAGTTTCTTCCGGGGCCTGACAGGGTAGGTCTGGATAGGATAAGTCTCAAACCAGGGCACAAACAAATTATTCAACTATGAACTATCACCATTAAACAAGGTTCCAACGTTTACCATTATAAATACTTCCACAACCAAATTGCCTATTATTTAATAACTAGTGTGGGCATTTGTTTTTTACAGCTGAGAACGGTTTAGTTTTGCTATTTTTCCAGCTTCTTGTATGATATCTTAGGACTTGCTACCAGACAGAAGGCCATGTAGCTGTCTGTGGAACAGCTTGCTCCCTGCAAAAAAGGTGGATTTCTCTCTTGATCATTCACTTCTCCATTCTCCTTCACCCTTTGTGATTTTATATATTGCCAGACTTTATAAATTAACATGTATCAAAGCTGCCTCAGCTTACAATCATACATCTGTCCTTACCTCTGGGCCAGGAAGCCTGGTTCAAATCCCACCTGCTCCAGACGTATGTGATAACATTCAGAACAGTCTAATTAGAAAAGATCGATATCTGTGTCCAATAGAGGTTACTAGGTTGGAGGAACACCAGGTCAGGCAGCATCAGAGGAACAGGAAAGTCAACGTTTCAGGTCTGACGAAGAGTCCTGTCGTCCCGAAACTTCGACTTTCCTACTCCTCTGATGCTGCCTGACCTGCTGTATTTCTCCAGCTCCACACTGAGTTGACTCTGACTCTAGCATCTGCAGTTCTTACTATCTTTGAGGTTACCAGGTATTTGTAGTTTCAGCCAATTTCCTATTCCCTAAACAAGAGACACTAGAATTGCAAGTCTGGTTTAGATTAACTAACTGAATAAACTCTCTGACCTATTACCAAAGACTATTTCCATTTCACAATGGATATGTCAGTTGTGAGAATTGTTACAAAGACACTTTATATTTACTCTTGCTTGGAAGATTTAAGTGTTGAAGGATTGTGAGAAATGGATTTTATTCAGATTTTATGAAAACTGCTGATAATTGAAAAAATAGCCCTCTTGTCGAGTTCAGGGTTAAATCTGTCTGTTCTTTTGAAAGAATGATTGAAAGAATACCTCACTGTTGTATTTGCTGAATAAGCTATGTCTATCAGACTTCAGAGAAAATGGTACATGATTAGTGACTTAACCATACGTGTTCGAATATCAATGCAACAGACTCTAGATTCTACACTTTGCTGTTTTCCCTGCAAGAATAGGTAAAAAGGTGCCAGAGGACCACACAGCTGCTCTCTCATTCAAGAGGAAATAACTGGTGGTGAGTTTGACCTGCATGTACTGTTGATGTCACTCTGCATCGCGAACCAGCCAACAGAGCTAACCACAACATTTCAAGAATTACCCACTGGTTGAAGGCTTTTTTTTTCAGAAAGCCATCTTCTGCACAGAAATCTGTTTTACCTTTTATTCTCTTTTCCAAAGACTGTGTGTATGGTTTTGGGAAGTTTAGAGGGATAAGCATTTATGCTTCTATATTACTGACTGCGTATGTTAACTAATTATTGCAACTTCACTGAATAAATTTTGTTTTGAT